GGCGACTTTCTGATACGCATTCGACGTTGGTTACTGCCGTTACCGTCGGGAATGAGTTGCTTGATCAACTATGACGCGGCCCTTGGGGGTCTTGTGCTATCGTTGGCTTGATTCAACAAAGCCAGACAAATGGTCATACTTCCAATGAGATCTGTGCGCTGCTGCTTCCCAGACGATCTGCTTACTGTAGCATGGCAACTATACTGGCTGTATGACGTATCTGTCTATTGGAAGATCGTTTGATGAGTACAAATATATAACGTCGTGGCAGAGCAGAGACAAAAGAATCGATTCTATAAAGCTTGGAGAAGCTATATATAGTAAACAGTGTATATGCAGATGACGATGTTCGGGCGAATCATTAGATTGGTTTATTGGTACTTATCGTAACATTTTGCACGTTCATTGAAGAGAGCGTCTTATCATCTGTTTGAAACATCCCCTCTCTCGAGCGGGATCGTAGACATTTCCTTTAGTCAAAATTGATACACGAAGCTGTTGCCCGTCCTGGGTCTCTTTTGCCACAACCCGGAGCCTTTTTGAGAACCCAGTGACAATAATGTGCTTCTAAGTTTTACGCAAAGTACACAAAGACTAATGGGTACTAACTGCCTAACCCATAGTGTGGAATAAAATCTAATAAAATAATTTCACAACATCTTTCAGAAATATTAAATCTCTTTGATTTCATGTACTATTGAGGGTATTTTAAATTAATAAATTTAAAATGTAAAACCTTCGATATTTTAACGTTTTTGGTGTCGTTTTCTGTGTCGGTTTCGTCTGCTAATAAGTTAATGTGTCATAGACTCGTTTTCGACCCTTTCATATTTACCGCAAGAAAAATTTTTAACGGCACGGAGAGAGGGTAAAAAGAAGACTCGCTTTGCGGGGCAATCCATACGCCACTGAGAGCTTCAAAAACTAGCCGATAACGAATGGACTGGCGTTTAGCTAAAGTACGGTATTGCTCCGCAGGCAATACGAACTTGCTCACTTTAGGCCATCATCATACCCTATTTGTATAATCTGAAGCAGGAAGGGTAGTTAGACAGTCGTGCTTTTACCTTTTTGATCCGGATCTAAATGCATGCTGCCTTCACCGTGTTGACGAAGAATCGCAGCGGGTTCCCGAACGCCACCATCGCAGATAGTTTACCGTAGCTGTTCTAATAAAGGGTCAGCATAATTATATCTCTTGCGTACACAAGCAAGCGAACAAGGCATCATACATTCAACGACTGGGCGATACCATCTTCATTTTTACGATGTAAAATGTGTACTGCTCTGCCTGTGACAATTAAACTAGGTGCATCATCGGCAACATATTTACGACGGTTAGCAGGACCTAAGATGTTTCTTTTTCGGCTTCTTCTTTCTTCCATTCCTCTATCTAAAGGGCCTTTTTTTTCAAGACTCCCTTGTATCGTCTTTTCTGTCCCGGGGCTTCGATTTCATCGCGGTGCTCTTGTCTCTGATTCTAGTGGCAATGCCTATGCCGATTAAGTTGAGGATATAAGCACCAATGCCATCCCCTCATCCTTCTAGATCGCGTGCGACAGCTCGAATCCTCTTTGGATAGGGAACTCCAGCTTCCGGTCTTCGTTCCGTCCCGTTTCTCTCGTCTTGTGTTCGTATCTTCCCCGGTGACTTGTCCATAACTAATGTTGCTAACATTGGCTGTGACCGAGCTCATCGCAAGTCTGCTGCCTACCATCGAGCGGATCCAACGTCGTGGGATATTGCATTTCCGATCGAGAACCTACCATCGCTCGCACTTGCTTTATAAATTATTGCAGTCACCACTACCTAAAATAACCGTATGATATAAATAACGTTCGATTCCATGTTGCACTTCCTGAAATCTGTAGCTAAATAATATGTACTTCTGGGTTTCAAAGCGCGTCCATCATGTGGCCGATCGGTGTCTCGACAAAGCCTTCTTTTTTCCATGGATACTGTAGTTGGTTGGCTCCCTCTTTTACGTTCGCTTTCCTCTGCAGCTTCAGACGCGGCAACAACAGCAGCAAAACTCTATTTCTCACCCATCTTTCCCGTTTTCTACCCCCGCCGAATGCCAATCAAGGCAAAACGAGGATTGGGAAGCTGATCGAGTTACTCATTTTCGTCCTATAGCTCCGCGGCTGGCTTTAGTCTATAGATCCTGTAGCAGCCGGCTGGCTGGCTGGCTCGCTGTAGACGACGCGTTAAATAAAACCTTGCTGTCTGGTCTTTATCCCGCTTCCTAGGTAAAGCGAATCTGTATGTTTTTGGGAGTAGCGTTCAAGGAGGAAGACTCCGCTACCCTGTCTATCGTTAACCTGCCGGCCGCTGCTTGTCCAACAGTCCTTGATGGTAACAGGACTGCTGCGACTGCCACTTTTGATTTGTTGCTCCTCTCTAGCCTCATTGACGGTACTTTTCCTACGTGGGTCCCTTCTAAGATCGCCGTTTGAACTTCCTAGATCTTAGCTTTCGTTTAGCGGCTGGTTGCCGCTACCGCTGCTCCATCAGTCCACCCAAGGCCGATCCCGTTTACCCTGTGACGTAACCAGATATCATAGTTACTTGGGATCATCATTGAATAGAGAGAGATGATAGCCGGTCGCGAGTGAGTAGTCGAGGATTCTCGTAGCGATTGCCTGTCCCACGAATGCTGCTGCTGCTGCTGCTGCTGCCGCCGCCGCCGCCGCTACTACTTTTACCTCTGCTCCTGTGACGCTCAGTGGACCAGATTCCGGCAGCAGGATCAGTGACGTTGAGCTCAATGAGCCGCTGGCTGATGATAGTCGGCTACTGTTGGTAGGCAGCGACGCTAACAGTCGTAGCTATGGTAGTCGTTGTCGTCGTCGTCGTCTTCAGGATAAGAAGAGCGATCATGAGCTCTGCCTCTCGTAGCCATCTTCGAGCAACGATCGTGCGATTAACTCGGCGGCTCACTCCTTCCTCATCGGCGAGAGGGGATACTTACATGGATGCTAATGAGCTTCGCACATCGCCGCTTGGCATTAGTCCGTCTGTGCGGGACGGCTACAACTGCTACTTTCGTTCCCCACAAAGCCATCCCGGCTCTGCCGCCTGCCTACCCCACACACCCACTCTGTCTCTCTATCTGATTTATATGACAAACAGAACGTCAGCCGCCGACGCTGCTGCTGCAGGAAAGAAGCATATGAAAACTGGGTTCACAACTAAGCATCGAGTAAGGATATAAAGGATAAAAGTTGCTACCGCCGCTGCACAACTATCATCCTGTCATAGCACTACGTTTCAGCATAGGTAGGGTGAAACATGCCAAATGGTCCTGGACACATGGCAATAGGCACGGGATTCAGCGGTCAAATAACTTAACGGCAGCCGTAGTAGTAACAGTGTTGATGAGAGGTATGACTGCATGCGTGTGTAAAGCAATCTGTTTCTCTTTGGACTGTCTCCGTCCGTCTTTTGCTAGCCAAACCAGCTAAAAAATCGATTCTCTTTTGTACTAGCATATATATGTATATAGATGAATGCCGCAAAGGCGGTTGACTCCATCGCTACACGATCTTGTTCGCTTACTCGCGGTTTGTTTGAACGCTTGTCTGTGCCTATCCTTCGACCCCTCTCTTACGGATTTCATACGATTAGAAGAATACGAATAAGCCAGACTGCTTTTCGGAACACAAGCCATTGTCACCGTACCTGCGCTTACAATAAGTGGTGCAGGTGGCACGACAAGCCATTCAAGTTTAGCTAGACATTATGCGTTTGAGTACCTGACAGCCCTTAACGGGTCGTTCGACGTAGAGCCGACCAAACGTTTAGCGAAGTACGTACACGCAATTGCTTATATAACAGCCAGTATGGCGCAGCGCTAGCTCGGTAAATTCGGACGTGGTGTCTAGATAAAGAGACAGTTTTTTCTTATAAATAATGTTTCCAACATTGTCTGTCTTATTAAAAAGCATACAAGTGCACCTTGCCTTCTACTAGGGTTATCGCTATTAAGTAACAAGAATTTTATCTCTAGGCGAAACTTTTTAGAACAAGGCCTACGATGTTTGTCTACGGCCTAAATTGGGGAATGAAAATGAAATGCTATTCTTTTCGCTCAAACTTTAAAAGTATCTTGGTAGAGTTATTGGTAGCAGTGGGTAGCCTATGACTACATCCCGATGTGAAGATGCTGTTCGGTTTAGCCTGATTGCCGTTCCTTCCATGACTCCTCAAAGGTGAGAGTTACATTCATTTGTATTGTCAGATACTTCCGCTGCCCACAGCTGATCAGTCATCCTTCGGAGGGTCCTTTTTGCAAGTTTTCCCTTGCCAGCTGGCGCTCTAGCGATAACTTTGTTCTCTAGCAGCTAGCGCAGTTTAGATTGCTCACTTGTGATGTGATACCATAGATGACCCTCGCGTCCGCTAGAAGTCTTTCAATACTGTATATATTTTACGGCTCGAGGGCATAATTTCATCTGCTAGGGACACACTTCAGCCCATGCGGATCATCTGGCATCCGACAGCTGCTCAGAAGGAATATTGAATGTTGTTGTTGTTGTTGTTGCTGGTCAACTAATGATTTATGGACATGCGATAGCTTCTCCCTACTGCCATTCTGTGAGCTTCAGCTGACCACATGGCGGGTGAAGGGTTCGAGTAGGCCCTGATGAGCTATGCAGCGAAAAAGGGGAAATAAATGCCTTCCATAAGTCCTTCACGCCACATGTCGACCTCAATCAGGCTCAAGCCAACCAAGTTTGCTTCAAACTAACTGTCAGGTTGGCCTACTTGCTAGGGCATGGCGGCGATCCTTCATCTGTTGTTCATCAGGGATGTTGAGGAGTAAATGATCGCAATATTGTTTTACATGTTGCATACTAAATCCATCTATCCTGGAGCGCAAAATAGATCAGCACTAACTAACTGAAGATTTTTTAAAATTATAACTCACTACATCGCTCAGCGTCGCGAATAAAAAGCTAACAAAAACATCGTTTATTCATTCCGTTGAATTTCTATAGATTCTGCACGTGGCCAGCGCACGTACGTGGTAATTCTTGTCGCCTGCCGGTGGTGTACCATTATCCATAACAACTAAACGGCAATATCATCTCTATCAGGGTAAGAGGCTTTTGCTTTTTCCAGTCGAGCGCAGTAGTCATGTTTTCCGAATATGTTTCTTCGGCGCATGTCTGTTAATGTTCCGCTAGCTGTTATTAATATTATTATTAGGCAGCGTCTAGGTATAGTTTATCCGACACTCACTATTATCAAACCAAGTTGAGCTGGTAAGCTAACACTCAGTCCTGTTTTAAGGCCTTATTTTGGGATGATATTTTGGAATACTTAGGTCGATCACAAAGCCCTATATCACGCTAGCAATAAGTATAAGTTTCAAGAGATAGAAAATGTGGAACACCAAAGAAAGATGACAGTTCAAATTCTCAAAAATCTAAATAAAAAAATAAAGCTAAGAATCCCGGAGGAGTGCTCAAGGTTTCTGCTCCTTTCGGCGTTCATGGCCTACCAGGGAATCTGTCAGGGAAAACGAAATATTCATTGAAATCATGTTTAAAGGAGAAGTCTGTTTGTAAGTAAACTATACGAATTCGCTATTTGTCTTAGTTGGAGAGGAACCGCTCATCGCAAAACCTTCGAGTGTTTGCTATAAACCTATGGGTTTGGATCTTGTTTTGACGCAAAAGTGTAACTGTTATTTTTATACCATACCGTTTTACGATATCCCATAGGTATGCACTAGCACTGCTGCTGTTACTGGCGCTAGAGAGCGAAGTTCGATGCTATTACTGCCCCTGTAAAACTCAAGAGTTTCCCAGTTATCTGTAGGTATGAAATGAAAGCAGTCTCTATGGACATATGATGTAACACTAAGCCCCAATAATTCCGACAACATAGCATACAAGGTCTGATTGATGTTTCAGTAAACTAAAAAGCAAGAAAAAACTTATCCTTATCTCATACGTACGATGGGTATTGGTGGGCTCTCTCATTGTCGCTGGAGTTTGCCGCAAGCTGCTGCGCATCTATAAACTTTTACCGATCGCCAGGTACGACACTGCGCCAAAGAAAAATGGCCAGTAGCATTCTTCTCTTGTTGAGAACAACAACAACAACAACAACAACAACAACAACAGCAGCAGCAGCAGCAGCAGCAGCAACAACAACAACAACAACAACAAGCTAGGGATCATCTGGGACACAGTCGGCCGGTGGCTGTCACCATATAATTATTGGGTCGGGTCGACTTGCCTCGTCTTGTCCCGTGACCGACATGGCGACGTTGTTAGCCATAGCTACCGATATCGGCTAGATCTACAGCTAATTCGGCTTTTTTTTTGTTATAATAAGACACAACAACGACAACCACGATAATAGCGACGATTACGCTAAAATCAGCTTCTATTTGCCGTCGCTGTAAGGGCAAGCCGGAGCAACTAGGCGAACGCAAAACTTCTAGCGCCAATTTGGGGATCATCGACGAGGCCTATTGCAGACCTCTTCCTGAGTATGCATAGTTTGTTTTTTTATGAAATCAAAGGAAGTTATACATGATTAGCAATTCGAGAGGGACCTAAAGATACAGCCTGCGTATTCGATGTTGCCAACATGATGGGTACCAACCTGGCGACTAAATGGTTTCTGCGATACATTCACGCCCTTGAATAATTTTTAGCAAAATTCTGTACGTGTTAATTAGACACGCATTAATTTTCTGATTATCTCGGGGCTCGGCAGATGTATCAAAAAATAAAGCAAAAATATGGGTCGCGTTATAGGGATTGCGAGGAAATTTTCATAAACCCTGATAAATTACCAGTTTGAAATAGCTAAGATAATTACATGGTTACATATGTATATGTATAAGGTTGCATATGTACGTTTGCGGTGCGCGCGTCTAAACGTAAAATGTATTTACTATACCTAATGCCATAACATTGCAAGATTAATCTGTAAGATGGCGACTAAAAACATCAAAAGTTCCTTTTTTTGTTTCGATAAGCTTGTTAGGCATAGGATGTGTTGTGATATGTTGCATGCACGCCATCTGCGACATATATAGGAAATCATCGTAATGATATGGCCGGCTATTATTAAAGACATACATGTAACGGTGGTCCCTGATTTGGTCGGTATCATCATGATGATTTCCTATTTACAAGTCGAATATGTTTTGTCATCAACGAGCCTACGGGTCTCTCGTAATAAAAAAATAAATATACTATTACAATAGCAGCGATATATCTCTCTTGTAGAATCTACGACATTGAAAACACTGTTGAGGACCTGCTTCCAATACCGCAGTTTCTTATGTAAAAACTAGTAATGGCCAATAATAAGAATACCAGTGCACACCGGAATCGTATTAGACAGCGGCAGGTATCACGCTGGCTCTGTACGATGTTGAGGCATCATCGACGGCGACATCTATGAATCGTATCTGCAAAGCAGAACTGCAACTGAGTATGATTAGAGTTCCGCTAGATTCCGAAAAAGCTCTATGCACACGTGACCAGACGTGGCAACAAGCGGCATTATTTTATGAGAGACCAACGAACTCACACGAGGAGCCCTCATAGACCATTCATACTGACGTGGCCTGACGTGTCTCTGAGCAATCGTGTCGAAACACGCAGGCGCTATACTTCGTCGACCTGCCACTGCAGCGCTAACCGAGTGTCCTGCTGCAGACGCACAACAGTATTCAGTAAAAGTCACATCCAGCTATGCTTCCGTAACTCAGAATCTTCACTACTCAAAAATCAGGTACCGGAGACGAGGCCAACGGCAAATAATTGATTACGCCTGTGTTGTGAGGTTCAGGCGCCTATCGTCTCTAGTTATCTATGAATAATAACGGCAGAACTGATGTCGTTGCGAGCACTACAACTGATAGACGCTGAGTTTGCGATTCGCGCATTTACCGTATCTCTGTGACGCGCCAGCAGCATACCTACGACGATCACAGGCTTCGGCCGATTCGGAGTAATTACGCTGCGTTCCGATCGCTCAGCGGCTGACGCTTAAATATCCTATCCCATGCGCCTCTACTTTGTTCGAGAAGCTTTTTCCCGTCTAGAACGGAGCACTATTTTACAGAGCCTAGTATTGGTATTTCCTCCCTGCCTACCGGAGCTGGATAGTCGGAGCGCAACAAATGATTCTCATCACCGAATTAATAGCAGCAAATATTCCTAGAAGAAGAGCAGAATAGAAAAGCCCGGGAAATACAGGATCAAATGAAAAAAGATATCGAGACTGAATGGAAAATCACTGAATGTGACAGAAATATCGAAATGGTGCCAGAACGGTTTCCGTTTGTGAGCTGTAACATCAGTGCTTCTTCTATGTCTGTCCATAGCTGCAACAGCTGCTTAACATAGTTACTTATTGCAAGGGTCAGGTAATGCGTAGGTATAGGACGTCTAGGACAGCGTGTGATGCCATGGTACAGGCTCATGTCGAATATATGGTCATATAACGGATATTTATATCACTCATTCACGCTGGCACGAAGTTCATCATTGTGTTTGGCGTTCAACATGATTGATACAATTAATTATTTATCCGCACAGCGAATATCATGGCTTTTATATAACAACAATGTTTTTATAAAATGCGTCCATTCTTCTCCATCGATCTAGCATGATGACGGTGATGGAAAGCGCCGCAAATGATGATTTTTACTACGCTGATTATATAATAGAGCGCATTGAACGCATCGTCAAACATGAACATGGCACTGTGGCGCGTCTCAGCCCTTCCTCTCGGCTGCCTGTCTTCATTCTAATTGACATCCATCCATTAATCCGGTCCCTGTTCCTGTATTGAACGTAAAAGATTGCCGGCAGTTTCCTAGATAAGTGACGACCTGAGTTCGCTGTGGACACAGGCTTGAAAGCAGGCAGCATCTGCCGCTTGTAACAAAATGAAACCACAGCATCGACAATACTGATGACAGCAACAGCAGCAGCATTCACAGTATAACTCCGAAATGGCCCGCCTGATGATGATTATTATCTATTTTTACTAGTGTTAGGAGGGTCACTGTTGCTGAAACAACGGATCGTCTAATGTCTCATGGTCAGCTAATCCACCGACGACTCGAGGTAGATTTTTAACAATACCACTTCATATAATAACGGATTGTGATAGGGCCGGGCAAGCGATCACAATGGACGAGGTATCATTTTATATTGATATTTGTAACTTGTGTAATAGCTGGTCTGGTAAGCCCCAGGTAATCACGGTTTCCCGGGCGTTTCCTTCGTGTCGTCGCCTCGAAGCCTTTAGTAGTAGATAGAAAACAATACATTCAGGGCCTACAGTTACCGAGTACTAACCGCCACTGATTACCGCGGCACTTGCTAACAGCGATCCTATTGTCTTGACAAACGCGTGCTCATTATGCTGGACCCGTGGACGTATATTTTCTGTCCGTTACAGAGGCAGCCTAAGCGCTGATACACATCGTCTACCGAACTGAAAGTAAACTATTCTATATATATATATATATATATGTCTAAAATAGTCTAAGGAAGATGCTGTTCGTTATATTTTTTGGGGCAGTTTAGCCTCTATTATTTAGCGAAATATATATATGGCGACGGTATATGGCGGCCCGATAAGCATGGGGAATTCACCCCCTTCCCCTCGCTGGTGGGAGTGTTGATAAATACGTTTGTCGGTGTAGGATTCGTTCATTGGTTACGTGATGACTAACTTCTCTACTAATCACTATCGTATGCATCGAAGTCGACCTCTACAGCTATATTACTGTCACAGTATTATGACAACCAACGTTCCAAAGCAATCGCATTATTCTGCGCGGTCCTACCGGAGCGTTACGATAATGTTTGCTTTGTTGGCTGGCTAGTGTTGCGTGGCGTTTATGCTTCGAGTGCCGGTATACCTTTACTCAGTCACGAACGCCCGGCGCAATTGTATTGTCATCAGCGAAACGATCGAGGACCGGCAAAGAATGACGCGATAGACGACGAACAGCCGCAGCAAAAAACAACGGACGGGCGGTGCGTATCGGCAGCACCAGCAGCAAAAATATTAGGAGTAGCAGTCGCGCAACGACGTGAGTGGCCCTGCGC